TTTATTACACTTTTTAATTTTCAGCAAGTACACAATTTTTTATGGCAAAATTGGCATAATAAACAATAACACATCAAATTTTAGAAAGTCGATTTACTACTAAAATATCAGTATAAAATTAATAAATATAAAAGTATTATTAAAAAAATTAATAAATCAGAAAAAAATATGCTTAAAATCTTAACAGCATCTGCAAAAAAAGAGTTCCATTTGATGGACAAAAGACCATTGTGTATGTGATGACATGGTAAACCGTTGAATACTCTTTATTGATGCATATTATTTAAAATTTTAAGATTATAATTAATTTTACGTAAATATAATTTATTAAAGCTCTAATTTAAATTCATGTAAATAATGCAGATAAACATAATCAAATATAGAATAAACATTCATTTTAAATATAGAAAATCTAAAATATAATTAAGATAATCATTGAGTTCTAACAGAATGTTTAATTATTATCTTTATAAAAAAATTGTATTATTAAACCAAAAATAAATTATTTTATTATTAAATATAAATTAATTTATAGCAAAAATTTGAATTAAAAAAGTTACACAAAAAACGAGAACTATTAAATAGTTAATTTGATACTAATATCAAATTTTTCAAATTTTTATAGCATCTTCAAATTTATATTTCATTCAAAAATCGTTTTCTTAAACCACATAAAATCGTATTATATAAGTAAAGACAAATAATAAAAACTAAACATTAAAACGAAGATTTATCTCGCTACATTGTACGAATACCCTTCTTCTTATTTATAAAATTCACCAACACGAATCCAAATTATTTCATTTTTAAGTTATAATTTTCATTCTTCTACTTCCCACTTATTATAGAGATTTATTAAATTCTCAATCAACTTATTATCGTTGTTTTTAAATTATTTTAGTTCATAAAAGTTATCGCTTTTAATCATTCTTTATTTTTATAAATTTTTATTCTTATGTTATTTAGATGGTGTTTGTTTTTTAAAGGGTGTTGAACTCTGAAATCTGATTTCACTTCTGATTTATAAGAGGTGGTCTTGAAGTCTGAAATCTGGATCAATAAGATTGTTTGTTTTTTACGTCTGAAGTCTGAAATCCGAATTGGTCAAACTAGTTAAAAAATATAAAACATAGATAGTTTTTTACGAAAATATAAAAGATGAATAGTTTTTTACGAAAATATAAAAGATGAACAGTTTTTTGACCATTTGATAGAGGACGGATTAAAATTAAGAGGTATTAAGGCATACATTTACCATATAAATTTTTAGAGGATATTTAGAGTTTTTAAGCTCACATTTTAAAAATAAAACAATTCTTAATACTCATACATATGAATGAATCAGACTTTAGACATATTAAAAGGTAATTTTAAAAAATCAAATCCTTATTATTGTCTTAAAATTATAATAAGTAATTTTTAATTATTATTACTTTTATTATTGTAGTTTTTATTATTATAAATGTCTATGAAGTGTGTAGAAAAAAGAATTTCCAATGTGAAAGAAAAAAAAGAAAGGTAATACGACAAAGTCGTACGCTTGTCAAGAGGTTCACAACTCTTATAACTTGTTTTCAGAATAGAAAAAGAAAGATTTAGGGGCGTTTACCAAATAGTTATTTGGGTAAACGTTTATTAAGTTGTATTATTTTACCAGATGAATATAATAAAGAACCAAAAATCTTATCATGTAAGAACGAGGCAAGGACCAAGAATCTTACGGGTAAATGATGGCAATGACTCCTATCACAATCAATTCTTACCGGATAAATTGTTGCATAAAAAGCCGTTTTTGTTGACTAAAATCTTACCCGATAATAAATAATAGTATTGAGTTTTCTCGATAAATGCTTACCGGATAAATGTTTTTATACAAGTTTTTTGTGTTCATTAAGTTCAATTTTTTTACTTATCTCATTGTTTTATTATGTTCAGATTATCTTCCGGATACTTTTATATATATATATATATATATATATATATATATATAATTAAAAGGTAATTTATGCATCGTAAATTAATAGTTGTGGTATAAGGAAGAGTGAAGGGATATTATGCATAAAAGTATAACTTTGCATAACATGATTGTTGAAGATGAATGTAACATATTGATCTATTGGGTCGATGAAGAGGTAGATAATAGGTTTCAATACTTATCTCGTATTTGAATATGTTTATTAATTGGTTGAGTTAGTTTTATACATTATTAAAGCTCAAACGTTAGGCATGATTCAAAATAACTCGTTATGACACTGATGCTTGGCTTCGCCGTCAAGTTAATCCCTGTGGCTCCACACTAAGCATTGGTTTCCATTGTAATGCGTTATGACGTCTTACAACACGTTATTTTATAAGGCATAAGTTTTTCAATTAATATTTTTAAACATATAACCTGAGAGATGCATGATAATTATGTACAACAGCCAAGACTTAAATAAACATTTAAAAGGAAACATAGAAACTAAAACCTAAATAGGTAAATATTTATTCTCGTTCTTGTACAAAGAGAGTCAAACATGAATACTTTGAAATTTAATCTCGATTTTGCACTCTTGAAATCGTTTTCAAACTTATCATGTTAGTAGGTATTTAGAAGCGAACTCAATGATAAGGCTAATGGAGAAGTTTAAGGGGCCCTTTACCAAATTCTTACTCGGGTAAGTGAATACCAAGTTACATTATCTTACTGGATGAATATGTAAGGACCAATAATCTTACTCAGTAAGAACGAGACATGGACTAAGAGCCTTACCCGGTAAGTGAAGACGATGACTTTTACCACAGTAAGCACTTACCGGATAAATTATTGCATACAATACCGTTTTGATGGGCTAAAATCTTACTCGGTAAGTAAATAATAGTATTAAATTTTACCGGAAAACGCTTACCGGATAAGTGTTTGGTAAACGACCCCTAAATCTACCCTCTGAAATTCAAACTTAAACATGTTATGAATTTTGGAAATTCGCTTTGCTAATAAATATCGGTATAATTAATTGTGCATGTGACATGGCAAACTGTTCCATGCAGGCCATGACTCTTAATTCTACTTAACTTATTTATTTAAATTAATTTGATTATTTTATTTTCTAATTAATTTAACAAATACTTTAATTAAATAAAAATTAAATGATTATTTATAAAATTCACCAACACAAATCCAAATTATTTCATTTTTAAGTTATAATTTTCATTCTTCTACTATTTCAATTTAGAACTCAACATTCCCACTTATTATACAAATATATTAAATTCTCAATCAACTTATTATCGTTGTTTTTAAATTATTTTAGTTTATTAAAATTATGGCTTTTAATCATTCTTTATTTTTATAAACTTTTATTCTTATTTTATTTAGATGGTGTTTGTTTTTTAAGGGGTGTTCATGTCTGATTTCACTTCTGATTTATAAGAGGTGGTTTTGAAGCTTGAAATCTGGATCAGTAAGATTGTTTGTTTTTATATCTAAAGTCTGAAATCTGAATCGACCAAACTAGTGGAAAAATATAAATCATAAAAATATAAAAGAAACATAGTTTTTTGATCATTTAATAGATGACGGATTAGGACTAAGAGGTATTAAGGCATGCATTTACCACATAAAATTTTATAGGACATTTAAAAGTTTTAAGCTCTTATTTTAAAAATAGAATAATTTTTAATACCCAAACATTGAACGAATCAAATTTTAGAGATATTAAGAGGTAATTTTGAAAAATCAAATCCTTACTATTGTTTTAAAATTATAATTATTATTACTTTTATTATTGTAGTTTTATATTATAAATGTCTATGAAGTGTGTAGAAAAAAGAATTTCCAATGTGAAAGAAAAAGAAAGGTAATATGACAAAGGGGCTGTTTGTTTGCCTCTTAATGGTGACATTAAGAGGCAACCTCTTAATCGGTAAGAGACGGAGGCTGCTTGGCAAAAAAAAATAGAACCTCTTAATGGTGACAATTGGCTCTTAACCATTTTGCATCCTATACCTCACTAAACCATTCAGATGTTGATTTTTCCAACTATGCCCTCCCTTCTTCCCCCCTCCATCACCGTCTTCTCCCCCCATCACCGTCTTCTCTCCCCCCCTCGTCGGTCTTCCATAACCACCAACAACACACATCGTCGGTCTTCCCTCCCCCTACCCTCGTCGCCGGTCTTCCAGCAGGTCGTCGCTCGTCGCCGCCTCTTCCAGCAGGTCGTCGCCGGTCTTCCAGCAGGTCGTCTCTCGGTTTCTTGATCTTGCATAAATCTAGGGTTTGGTTTAGGGAATTTATCATTTTTCTTTAGAAATTGATAGTGTTTATTGCTTATTTCATGTTTGTAACAATGTTAATGATGATTGGATTATCGATATTTTGCAATTTCTTGAGGATTTGATACTGATATGAAGAAACATCATCTTTGGTAATTGTATGTTGGTTTATTCAGTACTAAATCATAACTAGGGTTAAAATGGTAATTTGCTATCATTCAGAGAACAATTACCAAACAACCTTGTTTCATTCAGCACTTAACCATTCTGATCCTCTTAGCCATTCTAACATCTTAACTATTCTGAACTAAATCATTCAGCAACTGCCAAACAGCCCCAAAGTCGTAAGCTTGTCAAGAGGTTCACCACTCTTATAACTTGTTTTCAGAATAGAAAAAAGAAAGATTTAAGGGCGTTTACCGAATAGTTATTTGGGTAAACGTTTATCGAGTTGTATTATCTTACCAGATGAATATGATAACGAACCAAAAATTTTACCATGTAAGAACGAGATAAGGACCAAAAGTCTTACGGATAAGTGAGGGTAATGACTCCTACCACAATCAATTCTTAACGGTAAATTGTTGCATAAAAAGTCGTTTTTGTTGACTAAAATCTTACCCGATAATAAATAATAGTATTGAGTTTTCTTGATAAATGTTTACCGGATAAATGTTTAGTAAACGACCCCTTCTGTAAACTTAACAGAAAAAAACAATCTTGTAAACAATAGGCATTGCATATTCAATCAAATTTCAATGGATTTATGTTTGTAACACAAAATTTGTTATCAAATACAAATTAATCAATAACTTTAATCGTACTTTTCTCTCCAAGAATACACCAAAAAGAACACCCACGATGTCGCCAGAAGGGTATCGCCGACGAGTTGCTTTGGCCAATCGCCGGCCAAATCCTCGAGTCTTCTCTCGAAGTAAATTCTCCATAAAGCCATTGACAAATGAAGAATCACACACCCTTTTGCAAAAAACCCCTGAAACTCTCGATCTTTAACAAACGCAACCATGAAGTATATGAATCCAATGCCACAAAGAAGCAATCCCACGAATGAATGAGACGTTTGTATCAACAACTGGTCGTGTGGCGTCGATCCCGATAGTTTTCGTGCAGTCTCGATTCCATGGCCGAACACCGATATCTCGTTGAGGTAAAACATGATCAAACCACCACACGAAATAGCAATCGACGAATGGAGAAGACAAATTACGAAGAACCCAGATGATTCCATGAGCTGAAAACAAAAACCCAGATTCTAGATCTTCGAATTGAAGCAGAAATCGGTGGGTTTCTCAATGTCGTATAGAACGGTGTTGATGGAAGATGAAGGCGGAGATAGAATCCATGGCGATTGGAGAAATCAGGACCTAATTGTTGAAATATTTACAAGGTTTATAGAAGAAGATGATAAACCCTGGATTTCGATTTTGGAATCTGATCTGAAATTGGGAATGGAGATGGAAATTGGAAGAATCGATGCGAAGAAGACGGAGTAAGAAAGAGGGGAGGAATGGGGGTGTATTGGAAGAAGTGCATTGTAAATTGGGTTGAAGTTTTGTCGTTTATTATATTTTCTACAACTTGCATTGGTTGGGTATGGACATGGATATAACTAAATCTTTTCTATATTATATAATATTTATTCTATATTTAAAATCAGATTTAGATCTATTATTTCTTGGAATGAATATAGCTATTTTTTTTTATATTATTAGAAGAATACTTGCATAATGCAGTGAGATATATTTTGATCTTAATATTTTATTTTATTTTTTTTATCTCAATCGATGTTATAATATAATCTTATGTGATTTTAAAAAAACGATAATGTTTTTATTTTTGAATTAAAACTAAATTTGAAGATATCATAAAAAATTGATAAAATTATATCGATATTAGTATCAAATTAACTATTTAAAATTTCTCATTTTTGTGTAATTTTTAATTCAATTTTTTTAATTATAATTTAAAATTTAAGTTCAATAACGAAGTAACTTATATTTGGTTTAGTAATATAATTTTATTATAAAGATAAGAGTTAATTATTTTTTAGAACTCGATAATTATTCTAATTATATTTTAGATTTTTTATATTTAAAATGAGATATTTATCTTCTATTTGATTATATTTATCCGCAATTATTTACACGAATTCAAACATGGAGCTTTAATAAGTTGTACTTATGCATAATTTACTTGTAATCTAAAATTTTAAGTAACATGCTTCAATATACAGTATTTCATGCATAAAAATTGTTTTTAAAGTTTTTGTCATATGCTTTATAATATAGTATAGATAGGGTTGTAAACCGAACGTTCAGCGAACCGTTCGTGAACCGTTCGGCTGGAAGTTCGTATGTTCGTTTATTTAATAAATGAACGAACATGAACAAATTTTTTTGTTACTTTAGTTAAACGAACGAACATGAACAAAAGTCTCGTTCGTTCATTTATGTTCGTGAACGTTCGTTCATTTATCGTTCGTTTACGTTCGCTTATATTCGTTCGTTTATATATTAAATTTAATATATAATCTTTTGATTATATACTTTGAATTCAAATAATATTTATTTATGTTCGTTTAGCCCGTTCGTTTAGTTCGTTCTTTTACGTTTGTTTAGCATGTTAAAGAACGAACATAAACGAACACGAACATACCTGATTTCTAAACGAATGAACATGAACACAAAGATTTTCGTTCGTTTACCGTTCGTGTTCGTTCGTTTATTCGGTTAAGTTAAACGAACGAATATGAACAAACCTCCGTTCGTGTTCGTTCGGTTCGTTTACAGCCTTAAGTATAGATAGAATATTTATTCTATGTTTTAAAGATGAGAACGTATGAATAAATGATTCATATATGAATTACTGATATATGTAGGAAATAATAATTTAAATATTCATACGTGATTATATAAACCAAGTTTATTTATTGAACTTTTTATCAGTTATTCACTTATAAATTATTTATTCGTATGCTCTTAATCTTTGTTTTTTTCATTTGAACTTTCCTTTATTTTTATATATTAAAAAGGTACTCGTGTAATACAGCGAGATACATAAATTCTAATATCGGATAATACTTCATAAATTTTGGATTGTAAAAGAACAATTAAAGTAGAGAGAAATAAAAGTTGTAGATTCTTATTAATAATAACTCTATAGATATGGAATAATAACTCTATAGATATGGATGAGTTTAAAGTAAAAGGAAACATTCATTATGGTAAATTATGATACTTGGAAATTATTCTTTCCATCATTTCCTTTTTGATAAAGATATATAATCTTTCAACACTTTCATTAGGGGTGTACAAAAAACTGTCAACCAGTGAAACCCATCTAACCCAACTTGCTAACAACTCAATTAAACCCAACCTGCCTAACCGTCAAACTGTCCACCTGCCAAACTGCTAACCCGCCAATTAGGAGGGTTGAAATTGGGTTGAGCCTATCTCAACCCGTCCAACCCGCCGCTAATATATAATTTTTATAAAAAATTATTTATATATATATATATATATATATATGTATAAATTTTATATAATTTTTATTGATATTACGTTTGTATTTCATTTTTAGCTAAACGTATAGGTTACCAAAATATATTCACGCTCAAAGAATGAACAAATAATCTAATTAATAAGAGAAAATTATTGAAATTCTTTTTTGCAGCAATAACAAATATGAATGATATTGATAGATATTTGGTTGACGAATCCATCAATCTAAATCCCCCGTCATTTTATGTTGTTCTTTAGTGGAAAGAAAATGTTTAGTTATAGCATTTCGTCACAACAACATTAGATCTTATAGGATGCCTGGAATGTTTAAGCGTCATAATATGATACTTTGTAGGACGAAACAAAAAAATGTCTTATTTAAAAGAGTTACAATATATTTATAGGATGATTTTGGGCATCTTAACAAATTCTATGACGCTTTTAAAATAAAGTGTCGCATTAGTTATTTTATATGACAACTTGAAAAAACATCATATGAACATAGGTGTCCTATAAATAGACGAGTTTACGGGACACTTCTCAAAATATTTCTATAAAATAACTAATACGACATTTTATTTAAAAATCATTTTGAAATCCAAAAACGTCCTATAAACCTATTGTAACCTTTTTAGCTAGAACGCTTTATAGTATGGTCTATAAACGTAAATTTTATGAATTATTTCATTCTCAAATTTATGTAACTGTTAACCGCCAACCCAACCTATGCTCAACCCATAAGGGTTGGGTTGGGTTGAGATTTTTCCAACCACCATAATTGGGTTGGGTTGTAAAAATGTTGTAAACCGCCCAACCCAACCCACATACACACGGTCGGTCCTGAGATTTTGGATGCACATGGCGGAAAGCCAAAAAAATGCCCCTTATGTGTGTATATAAAAACCAAAATAAACTATTTGAAGAGGTTTGGAACCTATTCAATCTAGGCGGCTCATTCTCACGCTGATTTTTTTTAATATAACAAAAATGATGCGGGGGGCGGGGGGATAAACCAAAACCCCGTGTAACAAAACATAAAGTACGTTACCATTCACCTAAAATGATGCCTTCTTGCGTTTTTTGAAGGCGTTTTTTGAATAAAAAATATCTATCATTTTGTCATAACTAATATCAGCTAAARCAVCTCCTAAAAAGCTTAAGCCTTTATCCTATACTAAGCATCAATCTTAAGCCTTTGTCMTATACTAACCCRCYTCAAAACAGCTCCTAAAAAGCTTAAGCCTTTATYCTATACTAAGCATCAATCTTAAGCCTTTGTCCTATACTAACCCGCTTCAAAACAGCTCCTAAAAAGCATCTAAACAGCCCTAAAAAGTAAAAAAATTAGGACTTAAGCAAATTGAAAGGAATTTAGAGGATGTAAATAGTGAACAGGAATTTGGGCCAACCACCCAACAAATGGCAGCAGAAGCTTTGACAAACAGCAATGTCTGCAAATATGTCAGCCCAGAAAATATAAAATGGAAGGACAGAACACAGAAGTGAGTAACCAGACTCATTTCATGGATTTTATTTAGAAATTGCAAAACAAAACAGCCCCAAAAACAGCCACAAGTCCCAACCAGTAAAACAGCCCTAACCCCTAAGTTAAAGTGTTAAACATAAGATTAAGCATCTGTAAAACATTAACCAATGGTTGTCATTTGTTTCTAAATTCAAATTTGTGGTTTCACTAGTTTGTAACAACTAACAAGTGCAACAAAATCAATCAATGAGTCAAACAAAGTAAGTCACGAATTTCACAGAATCACAGCTTCTGAGCTAGTTTCATTATTAGGTTTTTCAGTTAAACAAAATTAAAAACTTAAAAAATAAAATAAGTAATATAATAACCCTAAGTTAAAGACTTAAATGTTAAATCCCTAACCTCAACACAAGTAAGTAGCCACAAAGAGAGAGGGCGACAGGCGAGTGGCGATTGGCAAAGGGAGGAGGCCGGAGAGCGAGAGCGAGAGCCGGGAGGCAGAGAGCGAGAGCGACCGGCAACGAGAGAGGCAGCCGCAGACGGGCAGACGGCCGTCAATAGTCGACTAGTCGAGAGCGTCAAGCGAGAGAGAGCGTCGAGCGAGAGCGAGAGCCAGCCGATTGTGATTTCGATTTCTATTGAGTGAGCGACAGAGCAAGGCGGGAGTCGAGAGCCAAGAGGGTGGATGATAAGAACGGTAATTTTTTTAGGCCCAACTTAACCTATACATATACATTGGGCTTTAGGCATTTGCTGCCCTTGGGCTTTATGCTGCCCTGGGCCGTCGCCCCTTGGGCCTATGCACAGGGCCGGCCCTGCACGTACACTCCTACTCCCCCTTGTATCAAGTCAAAAAAGGTGGTGTTGTATAATTCTTGTTTTATTAAAACGTTATGCCAAAAAAACAACTCAGTGAAAAAAAAAATAAAAACTTCAGCCAAAGGAAAGAGCACAAGGTATGTAGTAAACAATTCCTTTAGTTTAATATCATCCTTCATTTGTACATCAATCAAGAGATTTAGAAATAAGATGGTGTATCAACTGATGTCTCACTAAAACTTTGCACCAAGAAACAAAATCGAAAGAGAAAAATAAAACATTGGATAAAGAAAAAAACACAACATAAAAATATTACATGCATAGTACTCTCCCCCTGATTTGTGCATTAATCAAGGGAGTTTGGAAATATTCGCATTCTAATACTTTCTACATGTTTTCCAAATGTGACTTTAAGTAACGATGTAGTAAACAACAAGTCACATTATCCTTACATCTTACTTGATTCACTTGAATTTTGAGGAGTCTGTTATTGCTAATTTTATAAAACGTAGGAGAAATATGCTTTGTATTATTACCTGATGTATCTTACTTTTCAATTATTCCATAAAAGCTGCATTTTTCCCTTATATACAGGTAGGATCATTGTTAAACTCAAACGAATAGCTCTTCTAATATGTGTAATGATAGTTCTTAACCATATACACTCTTAAAATTATGTATAACGATAACTTCAAAATGGTTCAAGGAGGTAGCTATAAGTGT